GGAACTAAATTTTATCATTTCATAATTTCCTGTTTCACTGTGATTTAAACATGAAAGCAGGATCCCTTTGTCCTTGATCACCATGGAAGCAACATATCGGTCAATTCAAAAGAAACAGACGGTAATTGACTTCAAACTGTGTGGTAATGGGTTTGAAAACTACAGTCATTGGTTAGAAACACCACTAAGCAATGTAACGGTCATCATAGAAAAGTAAAACATACGAAATAGCAGCAAACACACCAGGAATTAGATGTAGGTACATATTAACATGGGAGGATTTTCCTATGAGTGAAAGACAGTATCAGAAGTAGCTACTAACAAACCAAAGAGCCATAGTTCAAAAATCGCAATGATTGGTTGCATATTTGGGTCAGCAAGTCTCAAAACCAAATGTGACATGCCTCCTCCAACAAACCTTTTGGATGTGCTGAACAAAAAATTCTCTTGCTGCACACAAGAAATAAACCAAGTGTCTGGAGTTTGCCACTCATGACTGGGAGAGAGGACTTTGGGCAGAAGACAACTCATTTAAAATCGCCTAACAACGTTGACCAAATTTGAAGGAAACATCATAGGGCCTAGCTCGTGATCATGAATGTTTGTTTCTGCAGATTACGCAAAATGGGCGCCAATGATGATGATCTGCTATAATATTTAGAATTACGTTTCATTGTGTTACGGAAAAACTGACAATATCTCATAGAGTATGGAGGACAGAATGAGTTTGATTCAATTGCATTTTGTTCAATAATTCCTGGGTAGTAGCAGTTTCAGTGGTCATTATGTCAGTATTTAAAATCACCGGCTATGGGCAGCATTGACTGCAAAAGAGGAATGCGTACAATGAAGAATACTCAAATATAGTCATATTCAGTTCACTTACACAATACCACACTCAGGCAACTAAGGGAGGGACACTACCCATATTTAAGCGATAAAATTGGCAAACCAAGGTATCTATTGTTTTTTAGGTGAATTCAACTAATCTGATGAGTTCGTTTGAAAAAAAAAAAAGAAAACAGGACTGCCTGTCATATTTCAACACCTGTTCAATGTACAGTGTTCCAAAACTAATTCATCAGACCTAAACTATGTTTCTTAAAGTACATCTTTTGATTTTGATACAATATACCCCTTGAATAAGTACTAATCAAAAATACAGAACTCAAAAAAAGATTTATTTATATTCATATTATAAAATATTAAACTTTATTAAAAAAAAAAAACTTTAGAGCGCTGAAATACATTTTCAAAATATTGTAAATTAAACTATCTTGTGCTGTTGAAATCATTGTTAAATTCTCTTGTGCTGCCCAGTGGGAGCTCTTTTAAATACGTTACCACATGATAGGTTTTCAACAGCTTTGAATTTGATTTTACATCATTGAGCAACACTATTTGTATTTAGCGCCCTAAGGGTGAAAATATCTAAAGAATTTTGGAGACAAGGGAGACATATACAGTAGGCTGCAGTTGCTTATATGATTCACCTTCTCATGAATCGTTATACTGATCTTGCTTCCTTTTCTGTTGCTGTTTTATTCTTGCTTTTGTGGCAATGGGTACTCTGCCAGGAAACACTGTTACTACCTGACTGTGCTCACAGACCAGTCAGTTCTCAACAACCATGCCAGGTTTGTCCAAGCCAGCATGGGCTACTTGGCAAATTCTATTTACTCAAAATCGTGCCATTATCCCGCTAACGGCAATACGTAAATTGTAACCTTCACAAATATAAGGTGGTGACATCAAGATGTTATCATAAATTTGGCCATTCTGTATGATTATTTTGGATGACTTTTATACAAATATCTTTTAAACAAGTGCTTCAGGTTATTCCAGGTGAATCATTGTTTCCATTATGTCATGGTTGTTCCAACAGAATTGTCATTAGAAATGCAAGCAGTAACAAGTAGCATCCCATAACCACACCTGTTCGCTGAATGCAAACGTGGATAAAAATGAGGAGAACTAGAACCCAAGGACCTCTGTTTCTCATCAAACGAGCCTCTAATGCTGCTAAAATCCGTTCATTAAATTCAGAACGAATCATAGAAAAGGCCAATGGGTTTCAATATTGTCTGATTGCCTAAAATAGTGTAACCAGACACTATTCATGGTTACGCAATAAAAGCCAACAGAGTCCTGTTGCCACCCAACACATTTGGTCTCAATACAGGTCTAATCAGTATGCCAGTTTCAAACACCTGTTGTCTGGCACCAGCTGTGCAATTTCCAAAGTGTCAGCGGTGCCACTATATTAATAGAATTTGTTAAATTAATACTAAACAGTTTAGCTTTCAATCGGCAGATACTGGTAACCCAAGAAATCTTGGTCAAATGATGTTGCCATCTCCAGGAAGAGCAAAACCACTTTTTTCTAATGTGCTTTTAAGTCAGGCCATCCATCATCTAAAATGTCTCTTCCTCATCAGAATCAGCGGTGCCTGGAGACCGTCCCAGCCGACTATGGGTGAAAGGCAAGAAAACACCCTGGAAAGCTCACCAATCTAATGCAGAGCTCACACACACACACACACACACACACACAAGCACATGCACATGCACACACACACACACACACACACACACACACACACACACACACACACACACACACACACACACACACACACACACACACACACACACACATACACACTAATACCAATGGACAATTGAGTTCAGAGTCTCCAATTAACCTAGCATGTATGTTCTTCGGCTGTAGGAGGAAACGGGAGCACTCAACCCACGTAAACACAAGGAGAAAATTCAAAGGCCCCAGACCAGATTTAGACGTCTGACACTCTTGCTGTGAGGTAACATTGCTACCCACTGCACCACTGTGTAACCACCAGTTGCCTAACAACATTGATCAAATTTGAAGGAAACATCATAGGGCCTAGCTTGTTCTCATGAATGTTTGTTTCTGCACACTAAGTAAAATGGGCGCCTAGGATGATGATCTGTTATAATATTTAGAATTATGTTTTATTGTGTTAAGGAAAAACTGACAATATCTCATAGAGTACGGAGTACAGAATGAGTTTGATTTAATTCCATTTTGTTCAATAATTCCTGGGTGACAGCAGATTCAGTAGTCAGTATTTCACTATCTTAAACAGTGCCTTATTCTGAGTCTAAATTTGGTCAGAGCTAATGACCGGGCATCTCAAAAATTCAGACTGTCTGGCTCACCACTGCTCTTACAAAATTAAGTATGCACAAATGAAATGCTTACTCATCGGAATTTAAAAATGGTATGTTTAGTCTCTCGTAAAGTTGAATTACAAGGGAATTCCCTGTGCTGTCCACATTGTACTTTTGCCAGATGTTCTTGAAGTACAGACTGGGAGAAGGTAGAGGGAGTTCAGTTTTGGTGACGTATGTAGTGAGTCACAGGCATAGCTTTCTCTACTTCCAGACTTTCCGTAGACAACTCACTTATCAGTCTGGATAAAAGCACTGTGCCATAGAGGTTAAGAAGCTGCATGAATTCCATGGGAAAATCCAAGCTAGTCATCAAAGCTACTAAATTATGCAGTACATTCTATGTCTGTGCCCTTACTTGTTGAAACGTAAGTTGTCTTTGAAATTTTAAGCACATAGTCTGGTGGCCAGATGGAAACCATCAGTATTCTGCCGCTCGTCAGCATCACGTGTTTACAGCGGTCCTCCAGGACTCTGAAATGACTCACCCTGAATGATTCATTTCATGTTGGAGGGAGAACCCACTTCTGTGACTCCAAGCTTTATGACCACCACATGCAATATTTCATTGACAATGCTTATTAGAGTGGGATATGTTTGTGTGTGCACACATGTAAAAGAAGGCTGCTTATTAAAAAGGCTTAGAAATACAGCGGCAATGGTAACTGTGTGTGAGTGTGTGTGTGTTTTTTTAATGAAATTTCAATGATTCAAAAGTACAACATGTGTCTTAGCCTGTATGTGATTTGTTTCGAATTAGCAGTGTGAAATGCGCAGAATTTCAGATATTGAGAACAAAATAAATTGGCCATCTGCAATCTCTTGCAGGCAGGGACACATCATTCTCCTTGTTAAAGTGAGGGCTTCTATTTACTTTCTTCATCTCCTCTCATTTACAGATCATCTGTGTCTACTTTTGCTGACTCAGTATGAAGTTCAAAACGGTGTTGCTGATTCAACATTCTTTGCCACAAGGTCTGCTATTTATCTGAGTGTAATGACTACCACGTTTAGTTATAATTACTAAAGAACTTAATCTTTTGAATGGCAGTATATCTTTTGAATTCATAAAATACTTGCTCTATCTTCATTAGACTGATGGGTACAGAGGAAAAGAAAATAACAATTTATTTAACTGAGCAGTGTGAAGAATCTGTGTGTGGGCAAAGATGGAAAAATCAACATAAACAGTCTTTAGGAGGTATTGGGCCTCCACAAGCTGCCAGTTCAGCTTAAAGTACAATGTACACTGGGCTCTGGTACGGGAGATGTGTGTTTGCCAAGGTAAATACTCAGCTATGTCGGTGGCGCAATGTTTACCGGGGGCAGCTGTGGCTCCGCTTCTGTACAGGAGCCCTCTGAAGCTTGTACGACAATTTCTGTCACTCCGTTATTTTTCCGAATGTGGTCAATTTTTTCCGGATCTGCTTGTGTCAGACAAACATGAAATGAAGTTTGTTGGCTGGTACCACATAAAAATATCAGCGGATAACTATCATAACTACATGTTGGTGAGGTCAAATATGTAGCATTTTGCCAAACCAATGCTGAATGATTACTACCTGCCTTTTGGGATGTACTTGATTAGGGAAAACATATTAAATTTGAACAAACAATATAAACACAAAATTAATAAGCTATGTAGGAGATGGCCAAGTGTAGTTTTAAAGATAAATATTTATCATTATTATTTCATAGTTTACCCTACCAGCTAATTGCCAACTTTCACCAATTTACATCCATGTCACTTCGGACCAGAACTGCTGCAAGTGTGGCAGGCCTAAGGAGGGCCCGGCAGGGAATGGAACCCCGGACTCCCGGTTAAGAGTCACACGCGCTGACCACATTGCCAAAGAGCCAGGCTCCTTGGCAAGGTAGCCAGGGCATGTACGTATTAGGAGGCATTTCTAGTGACAGGACCCTTCAACTTTCACATCTATCCCCGCTTTCAAGAGCATGTCCTCACTCTCCATGCTTTACACATGCTGCCATTCATTAGGATTCCCTGAATCCTGCCGATTACGCCAGAATGTGGCAGGTCGAAGGAGGGCCCGGGCGGGGAATTGAACCCCAGACTCCTGGTTAAGAGTCACACACACTGACTACATCGACAAAGAGCCAGGCTCCTTGGAAAGGTAGCCAGGGCGCGTACTTATTAGGAGGCATTTCTAGTGACAGGATCCTTCAACTGTCACACAAGTTAGTGATGCATGTGGTACCTTGCATTCCGTACTGGAGCTACTCTGATCTTGTGCCCCAGCTGGTTAACTTCCACACTGCAACTGGTGTACAAAAGGCCTAACCTCAGCATAGAGCCTGAAAGTGTACAACTTTATTAGATGGATGGAGTACCTTTCTTCTGAGAGATGTTCCCTCATTTGGTGTTTTGATAATACTTATGGAGAGCACTGCCTAAAACATTGTTCCAGTATCTCCCATATGACTTCAGTTGGCTTGAAATCTTGTGACTCTGAAGGCGTTGGCATATGCCAATGATCATTTCCATACAGCTGACACCATTTTTTCACCCCTTGTGCCCTGTGTGGCTGGGGCCATTGTCATCATATATATATACACCTGTTCAAAAATGGAAAAATATCTTAGAAAAGTTTTTAGTATTGCCATGGTTACCATCTCTCACCTTGTCCTACAAAAGCCAGATGATCCATAATTCAAGCTCTATAAATAAAATTGTCAAAAAATTTTCACCTCACTCTCTGGCTGTTCCATATATGCCCACACTTTATTGATTAACTTCCATATAGTGTAGCCAACATAAGCACTGAAATATACCTCTTCCAATACGAGAGGCGCTTCGGTTTGACGGTTGGAAAAGTAGGCATTGTTGGCAAACAGACCTTACTCAAGGAGCTGATGGTGCAGGGTGGCCGGTGGGAGTAGCAACAGATGGCCAATCTGTTTTGATTTACTGCTCGCCCACTGCTGAGTCAGCCTGGACGTGCCACAGCAAACACACCACCCTTGACATTGTGTGGTTAGGAGATATACTTTCAGATGAAGAAACAAAAGCCCACAGACTGTCTCTTCCCCCTACTATATGTCTACTGCATAAAACTTGAGTGTCTGTGTGATTCATTTCTACTCAGGAGTTCCTTACTTAGTTTGGAAATGTATTTTGAGTTACACTGATGAACAGCTCCAGCAAAAGACATGCTTTGAAATATCGTTTGAATGATGATCTTTCATCTCTGTATTCTTTTAGATAAAACATATTTGATTAAATGGGATATTTACAACCCCAAATCAGAGAAAATTGAAATAGTATGTTTGTTAAATTTAAGCTAAACTGAAAGCAGTGATTGCAAATTATATTTGACTTGTATTACTTTGTAATGTTGCCATTCATTTTTACAACACTTAAAAAATATTTAGGGAATGAAGATACTAAGTGATTAATTGTTTCAGGGTAATTTTGTCTCTTTTTTTTCGGCCAACATGTCTGAAGGTGTCTTAGTTGTCGAATTTTTTATTTCAAAATGTACCACACATTCTCTGTTGAGGATGTCAGGACTGCAGGCAGGCCAGACCAGCACCTGTTTCCTGTGCTTACACAGCCATGTCTTTGTAATGCATACTGCATCTGATTTTGCATTGTCTTTTTAAAATACGCATGAATATTTTTGAAAAGATGTTAGTATTTTGAAAGCAGTATATGCTGCTCCAAAACTTCAGTGTACCTTTCAGCATTAATTAGTGATATCACATGAGTGGAAGTCACTCTTTCCAAAGGCACTGACACAACCCCATGCTTTAGCAGAGCATGGCTTTTAGATTTGTTGCTGTTAACCATCTGAAAGGACTTTTTATTTTTTGGTCCAGAGCACATGACATTCATTTCTTCTGAAAAAGACCTGAAATATTAATTTGTCTGACCATAATACATCTTTCCTTTTGTGCTGGTCTATCACAGATGCCTCTAAGCCAATAGAAGGCAACGGTGCTTCTGGACACCGTTAATATGAATGTTTCTTTCTTGTACAGTAAAGTTTGAACAGGCATTTATGGATGTGACTATGTATTATCATACTTGACACTGGTTTGTTAAAGTGATCTTGAGTCCATCTGGCAACATCACTTACAGATAAATGAAGGGTCTGGATGCTGTGTCATCTAAGTGATTGGGTTTCAGTTTAGGCTTGTGCCCTTGCCCTTAACACATAAAAATTTCTCCAGATTCATTTAAACTTTTAATTATTTTAAGCACCAAGGAAGGTGAAATGTTCAACTCCCTTCCTGCCCTTCCTTGAGGAACGTCCTTGCAATGATTTTCTCATGCATCTGTGGGCAAATTAGCGATCCTTGGCCCATGATTACCTGCTGACATCAGCTGTTTTACATGACATCATTACTCACATTTAATTACCTCATTGCAAGTCCTAAATGGTCCCCATCCCTACTAAAAAAAAAAAATAAAAAATGAGTGGCAGGCCTGAATGACAGGAATGGATGTAAACTTGCAAATAAAATTACGTTGACTGGACAGAACATTAACATTAACATCTTGTCCCAGGTGGTTTTGTCATTCCTTGACAATTACAAACAAGACACTGTATCGGCCCACTTCATGAGGCGAGTATGTTGGTCAATATCGGAGGTAGTATATGTGGTACATCAGGTACAGTGTTTAGAACGGCACTCCATAACGGTCATTCCATGCCATAGAAGCGTGTCATGGAAAGGGGCGGGGTCACGGAGTGAGACATAGCATGAAATATTAGCATATCCATTTGCGCTGACATCCTCATAAAATAAAGAAATAATATTCTAAACACATCAGCACTTGCAACCGAATGATATAAAGACCAAGACATATGAGTTGTTACCTGCGTGAGAGCATGTCAAATCCATGACATTTTCTAATATATTTTTTTATTATATTTTCATCAAATAATTATGAAATTGTAGGACTGCTCATATTTTGCTGGTATACTGACCCACAAGTATAAGATAGGCCAACTTAAACCCTGTTATGTCGCAACTTATTATTATTTTTTATTTTTACTTATTTATTTAATTTTTGTAAAAACTGGCCCCGAATATCCCTCTAAATAGAAATTCACTCATATGATAAGCAACAAAAGACTCAGTACAAACAGTATTATGCTATATTAAAAAAAAAAATAGAGTTCATGGTAGTGCAATGGAGTCTCTGAAAAACAGACAGAGGAGAGTGGAAAATTACATCCTTTGAAATCACCAGTCAGTCTTCCCTGTCTAGATCTGTGCCCTCAGGGAAGGATTTAGATATTGGTCCAGGAGAAGGCAGTCTCACAATCTGTGTTGTGCTAAAAGCCAAGGAAAGCATGAGGATCACGCATCACTGAGCATCTGAAAGCAGGCGGCTGAAATACCCCAGAAATAATGTACTTATGAAGAGGGCTTTGTGGATTAGAATGCCAGTGTACAAATTCAATGGAATATTTTTACTTGGCCTTTTTCCTCTCCTAAGCATTTCTTGAGGTTTTAGAAGCTAAAAAACTCATTACAAACCTTCACTTCTTCAGTTTCACAGCCGCTTTGCTAACTGACAGGAATCAGATTGGGCTTTTTGGCTTGAGCCTGTTAGAAAGAGCCTATTGTCCATCCAGGTAGATCCTTTCATAAGGTTCTGTATAGGACAATCCATGAGGTGTGTAACTTTCTGAAGGTGCAAATCTTGACACTAGCTCATAAATATAAGCTTATATATATATACCTTCAAGTATATTTCCCAAGTATACTAGTGGTATACTTGTAAGTGAACTACTTATATACTTTCAAGGGTTGTACTAGTTGGTCTTCTTAGAACCCTATATGTGGGGTTCTTCAAAGAACATATCAATTTAATTATTTTACACTTTCCACCTTTCAGGCTCTTTAAGTCTTGTTGATAAATCTCTTCCACCCAGACATATTGTATACTATGACATCTAGGCAGATGCAATGCACGTCCAAAACACTGTTTTGGAAAATGCAAAGGCAGGCGAGGAGTATGTTCAGTGTTGTGAAAAAGTGTTGCCCTACCTGAATTTGTTCTTATTTGTCATACTTAAATTCTTCAGATCATCCAACTTATTTTAATCTAAGACAAAGAAAACACGAGTAAACACAAAATGCAGCTTTTATATAATCATTTCATTTATTTGAGGTCAAGAATTATTCAAAACCTAAATCACTCATTTGAAAAAATAATGACCCCCCCCTCCCCAAACCTAATAAATCATTGTGCCAGTTTTGGCAGCAACAATTGCAGTCAAACATTTTTGACATTGGCAAAGAGTTTTATGTTGCTGTGGAGGAATTTTGGGCCACATTTCTTTGCAGAATTGTTTTGATTCAGCCATGTTTGGAGGGTTTTCCCAAGTGTTTCCTGCCTGTTTAAGGTCATGCCACAGCATCTCCATTGGATTCAATCAGGCCACTACAAAACCTTAATTTTGCTTCTTTTGAGACATTCCATGTCGGACTTGACTTTGTGCTTCACATTATTGTCCTGCCGCATAACTCAACGGTGCTTGAGCTTTAGGTCACAAACTGTTGGCAGGAGATTCCCCTTTAGGAATTTCTGGTAAAGAGCAGAATTTATGGTTCCATCAATTATGGCAAAGCCCCCAGATCCTGAAGCAGCCCCAGACCATTACACTGCCACCACCATGTTTGACTGTTCGTATGATGTTCTTATTGTGGAATGCTGAGTCAGTTTTACACCAGATGCAACTGGACCCTTGTCTTCCAAAAAGTTCAATTTTTGACTCATCAGTCCACAAATTACTATCCAAAAAGTCTTGAGGGTCATCAAGATGTTTTTTTTTTTTTTGGCAAATATGAAACAAGACTTTGTGTTCTTTTTTTCAGCGGA